CGCTGCGCGTCATTGTTAAGGACGCCCAATTCCGCTCCTGTTTATCGGACATTCTGCGCTTCATTTATTCAGGTACCTTGTCAGGCGCTCCTGGGCCCTTCTACTCTGTTAAGCCCCCTAGAAGTGTGAGAGTCCCGGTTAATTTTACATTTATTGTACCCCTGCCATCTGAGGTGACGCTTACACATGAAATGTAGTGTTTACTTTATATGTAGAAATTAGTTGAAGTTTTTTGTCTTCCTGACAAACTTATTTGCCTTAAGGAAAAAAATGGCAAAATCACATAGCATACAATTTGGTATTTTAGCCATTTTTAAGTATATAATCCAATGATACTAGATGCATTTATAGAGTGCAATTATCATTTCCATTTATCTCTGTAATTCTTTACTTTGAAAATTGAAAGTCTATTCCCATTAAATAGTAACTTCTCCACTTTCCACCACTGTGATTTTGACTGCTCTGTGTGCCTCAGATGACGCACATAGCATAGTTGAGATTCCATAGAGCGTGATGTCTGTGGGTTCATCCAGGTTGTCATTTATGTCATTGTTTAGTGCTTTGGGAAGAGTAAAGCAGTTGTTAGAAAATTAAAAACAGAATTACCACATAATGTAGCAGTTCATTTCTGGGTGTACACTTGAGGTCAAGCAAGGTATCAAAGAGGAGTTGTCCAACCATGCTCATCAAAGCATCATACACCATGGTTAAAATGGTGAATGTGATCCAAATATCATCAGTGGATTAATGAACTAAAACTGGTATAGTATACACTGGGAAATAAGTCAGCCCTAACAAACAAGGTTTTTTTATTTGAGTTATGGTTATATTACATAATATTAAATTTTAATTATGTTTTTTAAAAGAACAGCTGTAGTTGATTTTTGTTGGAAATGTGAGAATAATGTGGTTGGTGGCTTGGTGAATAGTGACTTGGAAAATTCATGAGTAAGTACCCATAGGGCACACTGCTTTAGCTTTCGAGGCTTACCATACATTTCAGTGGCCTTGTAGATCAGGTTCAAGTAGCCAGAGTCATCAAGTAGCATCAAGTTAAAGACTTCTTTTAGTTCTATTAGTTCTATGACTTCTTTTAGTTCTACAAATTTTAATATTTAAACTTAGGATCTTACAGCTCAGAATTTAATACTAACTCTAAAAAACTAAAATGTTTACATGGTAAGAAAAATGGTTGTAATGACATGTCTAAGGAAAAGTGACAGAGGAGTTTAACTTTCCAATGAGTTTACTGTTGAAATTCTATGAATTATTCAGTAGCCTTCCGATTAAATCCATTTACTCCTGGAAGGCATTTATGCCTTCTTTAATATGGTAGCTGTAAAGCAGGTTCAATACCAGAGACTGAACTGGCTTTCTCGTAGGGAGGGTTGTTTTTTACATTGTAAAGTCAATTCAGTAGAGATGGGAAGAAATGCAGGCCATGGATGAAAAGGGAAGAGAAGACAAAAGCCTCCCCATGTACCTTCACCCATTCCCTGCCAGTTACCCGTGACAGCACCCTGCGTCCTCCCAGATACTATTAGAAAGAGGTTTTATTCACCTGCACAGATGCTCTGGTGAACATGTAATCCTTATGTGTTGTTTTCTGGGGACCATGGGTACTTTCCTTGGACTTGGAACACACAGGAGGTGATGAGGCCAGCAGGGCCTGTGGGAACCATTTCTGCCGTTCAGGCTCGCGTGTGGTAGGGGTGGGGGTGGAACTTGAAGTAGACTGGGCAAGACAAGAATTCAGTGAGGAAGCTTCATCAGGGAGCTGACATTGTGACCTTTCATCGTCTAGAGTGTGCAGATTCTGATGGTGTGACTGGGGTGGGGTACAATGTGAGCTATATTTCCAGCAGACGCTGAGTCTGTTTGGTGCTCCTGAGGCAGCTGGGTTTCAGCCACAACCAGTGAAATAGGACTTGGATTTCAGTTGAGAGACTGGGCTGGGGAACCCATTGTCACCTTAGGGCACAAAGTAAAACTGAGCTAAGCTTCAAGGCTGTCTGATCCAGAGCTATCAGATTGGAGCTCAGTTCTTTGTGTCCTGTCATATAGCTACCCAAAAAGGGAGAGTGGATCTTAGCAGATGAGTAGAAATTTAGGGAGCAAGGAAATGGAGTCCCAGGCATAACGGAGGCTATGGAATACGTAGGGAAAGAGAGCTCCTCAGCCAGCCCAGAGCTTCTGTACTTCTGCACATCTGTACTTCTGCAATCTGCACTTCTACATTTCTGTATTGCACTTCTGCACATCTGCACTTCTGCCCTTCTGCAATCTGTACTTCTGCACATCTGCACTTCTGTAGTCTGTACTTTTGCACATCTGCACTTCTGCAATCTGTACTTCTGCACTTCTGCACCTCTGTACTTCTGTACTGTACTTCTGCACTTTTGCACTTCTGCACATCTGCATTTCTGTACTTCTGCACCTCTGCTCTGGTCTCCTGTGTCTCAGGCAGGCAGGAGATGGGGTAGGGTTGACCTTGGCCTAGGGTAGAAAGTGCCTGATGTGGTTGAGACAGAAGAATAACTGGCCCTGCAGGTTCTTATTAATCATTCTTTAGTTATGTACAAATGATAGATCTGAATTGAGCAAAAGAAAGCGTAAGTTCTGTCTTAAAAGATATTAAAGCCATCACTGCACAGTTTTTATAATGCATATTTGCTATAAGAAAACAAACAAACAAACACACAGAGACCCCATTGTCCAAACAAAATAACCTGAATATCAGTGGTGTTTGTTTTCTCTACTAGAATCTCATTTGCTGATAGATTAGGGCCTTAAAAATATTAATTTTTTACCATATAAAACAAGAACTCTTGTCTACGTTTTTCATAGAGTCTTCAATAAGGAGTTAAAATGTTTCCTTGGAACATTTTCAAACCTCTGAATAGAACACGGTTTCCAGGCCCATTGTGCAGTGATTTCGTCACAGTCCACGGGTCACAGGGTGTATCAGGGAACCATGGAGGACAGCAGCCGTAGCTTGTCTATGTCCATGGGGCTGCTCAGGCAAAGACAGAACTGCATGGCACAGCTTGCTCAGGAATATTTGTCCTGAGCAAACAGGGGCTGAAAAGCTACAATAAACCTATCTTCTGCCCCTTAAAAAAACAGTCAACCAGACTACAAAAGGTACTTTTTAGATAACACCAGGCTTGTCTTTTGCCTCTGGGAATCGGGTTATGTGAATGTTTTGGTTTGGTGTTTAGAAGGCACCTATTTCATAGTCCGGTTAGCCTTTTATACTCATATATAAGCCTTCAGTTTGTTTTCCTCTTAAAAAGTTTTGAATAATTAGAGACAGCCCAGGTGTGTGTTAACCTTCCTTTGCATAAGAGGAGCATCATATGATGTGTTAGCATTTAACAAGCGATGCCTTAGGATGAGGGCTAACAGCAGATGAGATCTGCAGTTTCTGTGTTCAGGGAGTTATCCTGAAACATCATACACTTGTAACATTCTTAAAATACTTGGTAGTTTAAGGCTTGTAAATTCCTGAGTCACGTGATCTCAGATGGTTAGAAGTTGAAGTATTTGTGAGGGACTCAAGAATGTAACTTTGAGCTGGACCTGTCATGACCCAAAATTCCACATTACTTACTAAAATGCAGAGTCGATCAACATGTGGACAAGCCTTCAGGTTCGGTTTGCATGGTATTCTCTCCAATGCTTGGAATTATTCTGCAACGTGCTCTTTTCTGTAAAACAGAAAACAGCATAGGATACCTGAATGCGCTGTGATCTTCAACAGACTAAGTGAATGACTGAGGGGCCTGAGAAATTATCCCAGCAACCCCCAGGGAACGGAGCAAGATGAGTAGCTGCTAAGTTCTTGCCGCAGGACACTGTGCCTATTGTTGACAGTGCCATGTACTGGAAGCATTGCTCAGGGGTGGATCTCATGTCAAACATTTCACCACAGAAAAGAAGCCATAGCCTAAGGATTACTATTTTATTGGCAGTTAGGGTGTCAAAGATAATGCGATTAGTATTTCTAGGTCTGGGAACAGCCTGCTCGTTAGTGTGCCGTTAGGAATCTGTCCTGCTCTCCCTCTGGTTACCGGCTCTTGGTGAGTCTGTTTGCCAACAGCCAGGTGGCCCCTCAGTTTGCCTGTTTGTTTAGATTATTTGATGTCTGCTCCCTTGCACATAGTCCTATGAATGGATTATGTCGCTGTTCTTTGGTTAATATAACTTTACTTGTATTAACTGGAAGTAAGTTTTACTCAACAATATTAAAGGTTAATACCGATAATGTAACTGTGTTCTCCTTCAGTGTGGATGAGTGTAGACAAACAAAAATATTCCTACTCTAGGCTGTGTGCCGCTAACTGGGTGTTGATAATGTCTGGGATTTTTAAAGTGAGAACATGGTCAACAGCAGCACTCAGAGTATATTAGAGGTCCTGGGAGGTTTTAAAATGTATCAGTGTCTGGAACCCTAGCTCCAGAAAATCTAATTTAATTAGGATGAGGTTTCCTCTGATGTATTTTACAAACTATCTTTCTTCAGATCAGTATAATGCACAGCTAGGATAGAGAATCAACCTGAGCTCCCTTGGTTCCCACTCCTGGCATTTTTTTTAAATGTATGAGGCTTATTGCTTAGAGATTAGAAAGGTGGCAGAAAAGTTAGCTACAAATTCAATGGTAAATTTCTTGTCACTGTAATCATTCCAGACCATTAGCAGGTGGACATGCAGCTAGCCTATAGTCCTCTGAGGTGTTGGTGTCAAGAACTGGTACACCAGATCACCCATGCCTGAGCCAATTACTAAGCAGAGGAAAAGCTGTTCCATGATGCTCTGAGTAGGCATCGTCTGCAGCTGTACTTTGTGTGGGGTCTTGCTGTCCAGTCTCTGGCCCTGTAGTGTCCACAAACATCCCTGTCTAAGAGTCCCAGAGGACATTGCCCAGTACCAGCAGAGGATACTTAGTGAGCCTGGTGTCAGCAGCCAGGAGACTAAGAGGCTGTGAGAAGGAAGATGTGTTCAAAAGCACCAGGATTTAGCAAGGACAGGAAGGAATGGACCTTCCAAACACAGGGAAAGGCTTTTGGCATCTTCTCCCTATAGTAACAATGACCATGGCATAGGCATTACAAAATCACTTTTTAATGCAGGATCCTGACATTTTTATACGGACCTTTTGTCTATGTGTGAACGGGAGGTTTTCTGGAAAGATGATCCAAAGAATTTGTCTGATTGTGAAAAGAATATGTGTGCCCAGTTAAAAATCACTAATATAAAAAGGGAGAGAAGGGAGACAGTTCTCAGAGACTCGTTCTTCTAGAGTGTGAAAAGGAAAGTCACCTAACAGGGATGTCGGAAGAGAAGAGTGTCACGGATACAAGGGGGCAGTGGTGAGCTGGACTCAGGCCAGCACCTGTGTGAGCAAGGCTACTGTGTTTAGAATTCCCAATCCCACCGTCTGTGATACCATGTCGTTAGCTCAGACTTGGCCATGCTGTGAGTGTTAATAGGATGGAAATGGCAAATGCTGCTGAAGCTGGAGTGGGAAGGTAAGAGGAAGAAGTGAGAATGCTCAGGAATGCTGAGTGTTATAGCAAAAAGGAAGTGCCTGGCTCGGTGGTTAAAACATTTGCAGAGAAGCTAGGTTCCATTCCCAGGATCCACATGAGGGCTAACGTCTGACTAAGTATAGTTCCAGGGGATCTGACACCCTCTTCAAGCACTGCACACATGTGGTACACTTACATACGTGCACTCAAATATTCATACACATAAAAACAAACCACTCTTTTAGAAAAAATTAAAAGGCAAGTGCCAAGAGCCCTGAGCTTCTGGGTTTCAGGCCCTTCTGGTCAGGTTTGGTGCCCATTGGCCTCATCTCATTGGCTTAAAGTGTGAACTGTATGCCCTGCTCAGTCCTCAGTCTCAATCACGAGGGCATCTGCAGAGAGATGGACACAGGCAGGGATCCACCAGGACAGGGAGCTTAGGAGCAGACAGCAAAAGGTCCTGTTCACCCCTCCAGAGAGCTGGAATGACTTCCTTGAATGACTTCCACACCAGTCGTTAACAGCAGAGATAGAGCTGGAACGTGGGCCTCCGTCCTGTGCCTCTCCATGGCATATTGCTTTAATTGTATTTTTAGGAGTTTGACCTCCTGTAAGTCACAAATGGATGAAGGTAATCCCTTGTGTGATGGTGTGAATTAGAATGGCCCCCATAGGCTCATACATTTGAATGCTTAGTCGCCGGGGAGTGGAACCATTTGAAAGGATTAGAAGGGTTAAGAGGTGTGGCCTTGTTGAGGAAATGTCACTGGGGTGGGATTTGAGGGTTCAGAAGTCCACACCAGCCCCAGGCTCTCTTTCTTTGCCTGCCTGACTGCAGATCAGGATGCAGCTGTCAGCTACTTCTCCAGCACCGTGTTCCCAACGCTCTGACGCTGTAGGCAGCGCCCTAAGGTCACGTCTCCTTTTGTAAGTCTTGCCTGATCATCACAGCAATAGAACCGTGACGAAGACTGCTTGGGACATCATGAGCAGAAATCATACTTCTGAAAATTTAGCTTGAATAATAGGATGGATCCCAAGGAAGAAAGGTCATCAGGGAGCAGGGAGGTTGGGTAGGAGAGTACTTAGGCTACGTGAGAAGAGCATTTTGGGTAAAGATCATCTTTTGCTCAGCATAAAATAGAATTAGAGGAACGTGGTAGGCAAGAGCAAAGGAGTCCACGAAGAGTAGCTTTGAAGTTGGCCAGGATGGAGACACAGCTCAGGAAAAGGCCTGTTCCTGCAGTGGCTGGATGCGTAGTGTGTCAGAAAACAGCCTCACTGCCTTTCTCGGGTTGGTTTTGGAGAGTCACAGGGCAGGCATCCCACCTGAACCTGAGAGTGCACACGGCCTTCTGAACACACATCTGCAGGGTGGTCTCCAGACCAGTGGAGGCCGGGAAAGGCCATACTGACCTTCTTCCTGGGAGCAGATCACTTTTCACAGAAACTCATCCTGGCCAGTGCTGCTAGCTGAACACCTGCTGTAGAAATGGCGGCTGTCAGGGATGAATCCTGGTCAGAGCAGTGGTTCTTAACCTTCCCAATTCCTTTAGTACAACTCATCATGTCATGGTGACCCCCAGCCATAAAATTTTATTTTCATTGCTACTTTGTAACTGTAATTTTACTACTGTTATGAATCATAAATATGATAATTACATAAATATGTAAATATCTGTGTTTCTGATGGTCTTAGGCAACCCCTGTAAAAGGGGTACATTGATCCCAAAGGGGTCATGACCCACAAGTTGAGAACCACTGGGTTAGAGGAAGCCAAACTGACTTGTGTGTCAAACACATACTTCAGTCGTAAAGAGATATGTTTGCTCCACAAAAATTAAAATACTAAAGAAGCATTCATAATCCAGAAGGAGACTCAGCTTTTCATAGCTCCTACTCACACAGGACATTTGTGATTCCTCACAGGTGCTTTTCAGTGGGAAGAGCTGGAAGAAGACGTCAGGAGGAAGCTGGATGATTCAGGGGATGTTTCCAGTGTAATCGAGAAAGTGAAATGCATTTTAAAAACACCAGGAAAGGTAAATTACTTTGACTCTGAATTATAACGGGTATACTTTGATGACTATAACATTGAGTAATTAGCAAAGTTAAATAATTCATAAATATAAATGTTTTCTCTGTGTATATGTTTCTATTTAAATATTTTAAACAGAAACATATGTATTTCTTACTAAGATTTTAATTTATGTAAGGATTAAAGTATGTGTGAGTCACGTCTTTGAAATGTTCCTTTGTGAATTCTGCCTTCAGAACAGCCCACTGGAGCCCTGGGAACACACATCCCGTACTGGGAAGGAGAGGCTGCCACAGCTGCAGCGGGGCCTCCAGGAGGACCCTGTTCTCACACTGCAGAGTTTTAACTCAAGTAACCTTGCGGAGTAGGCTGGTCCTGTGTGGACTTTTTAAAGAGTTCTGAGCAATACATTTAACCAAATGGACAGTTGAGGAGTCTCTTGAGTACATATTTGAAATTACAAGCTGGGTTCAAGGTTATAAAAATACTGATGTCGTATGACCATAAAACACCAGTGATTTAGATTACACAGAGTCTGTAAAGGTCTGAAAAGTAGATTTGTAAAACTTTAAGACAACAGTGTTGCACAATTTAGCCAGTTCATTCTTATTTCAGATTCTCTGATAAGCAAACTGGATATAGTAGATAAAAAGGTAAGCTGAGTGCAATGCTTAGCAAAATATAGATTTTCTTTGAATATAAGGAAAAATTCCTCTAGTTTTTTTAACAAATGACTTAATTCTACGGCTTACATTAATAACATTTTCAAGTTAATAGTTGAAAGATGTAAACTAAATTAGTTTTTCATTTCTTCTCATTCTTACATTCATTTAGTGTATGTTTACACACATGTACACGGTTGTATGTGCCAAAGAGAACATGTGGAGTTGAGAGGACAGTTTGTAGGAGTAGATTCTTCCTCCACTAGGTGGGTTCTCAGACAGCAAGGGTCTTTACCCAATGAGCCATTTCTCAGCCCCCACTTTCTGTTTTTTGGGGGTTTGTTTTGAGACAATGACTCAGTATAGAGTCCAGACTAACTTCAAACTCTTTTTAGCCCTGACTGACTTCAAACTCTCTGTGTAGCACAGACTAGCTTCAGACTTGTGGCTTTCTACCTTAGTTTCCTGGTGCTAGGATTGCATATATACAACCACACCTGCTTGTACTAGCTTTTCATGAAGATTCTTAATTTTCTTTAGTTGAGGAAAAAATTTAACAGAGAAACACAGAATTAAGGGCTGAGATATTTTGTTATTTTTGTATTTTATATATATATATATATATATATATATATATTTTATATTTTGTTATTTTTTGTTATATTTTGTAACTCAATGTGGCAGGTATCCCCAGGACGTCCAACCTTACAGGAACTGGACAGTTAATGGCTCTCTTTCAACCTGACTCAACTGAGTAATCCTTTAAAGGATGCACAAATGCCTGCATTCTGTTTATTAAGACTCTCATGAGTTAATTTATGAACCAGGGGAAAATGTCTCTCTCTCCATCTCTCTTCACACACACATACTTCATACATGTTTTATATCTCTATAAGATTCACAATGTGCAGGCTTATAACCTTTATCTATGTGGGATATGCAGAGTCTTGCTGGTGTTCTGAACCCGTCTTTTCCTTGGGTCTGATTTGACACTCGTTCCTTTGCGGTACCAAGGGTAACATCGACTCAGACAGATGATGGGAAGACTGGACTGTGTGATTCCATGACACTGACCTAATCCCCTGCACAGGTGGGCGGGCTCTTTCACCATTCCATGATTTCTGTTTCTCTAGTGTGTCATGGGAATATAACACTGCGTTGGCACTTGGGAGTGTGGATTTCAGTTCTGAGTCTGCTGTTAATTATTGCTGCCGCTTTGAGCAATTCAGGCTTTTCTTTTAAACTGGGGCTAAAACAAGATCCTTGAAGCACCTGCTAGCTCTCTAACTCTGGGATGGGTTTTGGCTGTCACTCTTTACGAGTGCCAGTAACTTGCATACTAAATACCTGTTCCTGCAGTGGGTGCTGTGGTGCAGCGCTGAGATCTCCCAATGGAGGACCAGGATCTTCGTCTCTTATACTTCTGGATTTCATGGAGTGGGTTTTCTTTTTCCTTGTCAAGAAAATTTGTATCATATTTCTCCATCACAAAGGATTGGAAACTTTCCTTCAAAGTAGATTAGCATAGGTAGACAATTAGATATCACTTAATTCTTATTGCCAGAGCTGGATGTGGGACTTCTTAAGGATAAAGATTCCTGACTTCTCTAGCTGGCCAAGCATGGGAGTTCTCATGAGGATGAGATTGGAAATACGGCCAGGGGACTGATGGAGTCATCGAGAATGAACAAAAAGCCGGGTGATAATGGCACATGCCTTTAATCCCAGCACTATGGGAGGCAGAGGCAGGTAGAGCTCTATGAGTTTGAGACCAGCCTGGTCTGCAAAGCTAGTTCTAGTTCCAGGACCACCAGAACTACATCAAGAAACTCTATTTAGACCATTCCAAATGAGGGATTGTGGCCATAAAATTTAAGATTGCAGCTTACTTTGGGCAACTCTA